TTGGTTTCTGGCCTATTCTATGGTCCCCGGGGGCTGAGCTGGCACCCGGTGGTCTCTGGCCTCCCTCCTGAGGAGCCATGAGGGGAGCTGCGTTAGGGTTAGGGTTCCCCTTATGTACTAGCTGCCTGTTGCCCCACGCTGCTGCCTCTGAGACAGAGACAGCAGTGTGGGATGGCAGGGGGCTCCCCAGGAGTGAGGTTGGGAGTGCTAAGTTTTGACAGTGTTACACAATTATTCAATTAATTGATATCCAACATCCCTAATGGGTATTTTAATAATAAACAAAGTACTACATTTCATTGACAGATGGCAAGCAGCTAGAGTGTAATGGCAAAATGTAAGTGGTGATACTGCGACTGCATACAACCTTCATAGATCCTCTTACATATGGAATACAAGGCAGGGTATCTTTCAGCGGGTGGAGATTATTGCCATGCAAAGGGGATTAGTGTTAAGCTGATACTGCCACTGAAGAATCAATATAATGGAGAGATTCATGAAGTTGGGTTTATTCTGGGTAGAAAAGAGAAGACGTTGGGCTAACCTAATGGAAGGGTTTGCCATTAGGAAAGAAATGGATAGAGCAGAGAGGTCTCTGTTTGGAGAGGGTCAAATGCTGGAGATGTGGAAATGAGGAATCAGGTGTACAGAGGTTCCCTGGGAGTTGTTCAATTTAACTGATAATTGGCATAAGAAATCAGTTCCTGGGAAAGCTCTAAATTATTTGTTTCTAGGTAGTGGATAAGCAGTGTTCTTGGAAAAAGCAGGAAAGCTCAATCAACCTAAATTAAACCAGGACAGGAATATTTGGTTGGATGGCTTTCTCCAGTTCCAGACACCCACTCCCCCCAGTCAGTATTGTGGTGTCTGGCTTTTCACTAGACATGCTGCCAGCCAGAAGAGCAAGCCAAGATGGAACCTGGCAAAGTCATGGTTAGAAAGATTAGTAGCCTTTCCTGCAAAATGGCTTCTGTTTACTATGCAAGGATCTGAGAGGAGGAGGTACAGCTTCCAAACCTATGGCCCACTCATGTCTTCCAGTGAAACTCTACTAAACTCATTGTCTGTGTACTTTCCAGGGAAGGAGGGATCTGGCTTGTAGTCTGGACCATATTGTGCCTTTATTAATCCCTCTGAGGACATAAACTTTCCTGCCTCATCTTGTGCCTTGAAGAGTTCATATCACAATCAATAAAGGGCACTCCTGAAGGGCTCAAGTACCTGGGAGTTATTAATTTGCTGCCAAAGAAGACCATCTAGTACCTTGGGCAGAAGCTTAAGAATATTCTTCCATATTATAAAAACAGCATGAATAGCACAATCCTTAAACCCATTTCTGATAATCAGTGAAAGAATGATCTGGGTTCACAGAGCTCAGATCTTGAGCCATGGCAAATAGAGGAAATTCCCTGTTTGCCACTTGAAACTGCAGTGCAGGATCTAGCAATGCAACTCTGTCAAAGATGGTACAGCAGCGCTGTCCAACAGGGCACACCACCACTCTCTGCTCTAGCACGCAGGCTGAAGAATATTGGATCCCGACTCCTGAAACTGAAAGGGGCATTTAAGAAGGCAGAGTGTAACTGTCCACAGTGGAATCTGACCAGATGTGGGGACTGAATGTCCCTGCAAGAATAACGGAACTCTTAAGACCACAAGGTTAAGACTTGTGAGAGGTTCATGTCTCAGGCAGCTGAAAGCCAGCATGTCCAGCTGCCAAGCATCCCCTATTGTCATGCCGGGCATGTGCTCAGGCAGCATTGACTCAGAGTGTGCATCACTGACTGCACAGCTGCATGCCAAAAGCACCTAAGGCAGAGGCATGCCATTGGTAACCAGGTCAGATCAGTAGCTTATTTGACATTAGCTTAGTTCTCTTCTTTTCAGTGGGGCCAACAGACCAGGAGAGACAGAGTCTTTTGCTCTGCAAGCTGTTCACATGGGATGGTTTCAGGTAAATGTGTTGTGGCCTGTTTGAAATGGATCCCAGGCACCATCTCTCCAGCTGATTGTTACCTGACATGAATGTTGTGCCACTCAAGTCCCACGGCACCATCCAACACCCCTAAATGCAGAGCTAACCCCCCACTCGCTCTTCTCTGCCATCAACCCTTAGCCCTCAGGGCCCCTGAAACACCAGAACTAAAATAAAACCTCCTACCGCAGCCGCTGGCCAGAGGCACTTGGGGAGCAAGTTACAGAAACTGGAGATGGAGAAGCTGCGTTAGATCTCCCCCCTACACACGTTCCCGCCACAGATGCCACCGTGCCAATGCGCGGCTGGCCCGGGGCCTGGAGACGGACGGGCCCATCTGTGGCCGCTGTGGAAGAAAGGGCATTAGGACCCTGAGGATCTCGCTCCTTTTTTTTTCGCTCTGCAGGACTGAGCAGTGAGACCAGAGCTAAAACAAACAGCTGTGGCTGTAAGAGCCGGCCAGAGAGCGCGCGAGAGAGAATCCCATCACCGCTCCCCCAGCAGCCTCCCCCCACCTCCCTTGCACAGAGTCCTGCTGAGCCTTTGCTCCTCTGACCCCCTGGAAACCTCCTCTCCAGGCTCCCAGGCGCCACTGGGGCTTTCGGGATGAGGCGGATCAGGGCTAATGCCATTGCGATCCTGACGGTCGCCTGGATCCTGGGCACTTTCTATTACTTATGGCAGGACAACAAGCCTCATTCAGCAGCATCCAGCAGATCCCCCGGCAGCGGCAGGAGCGGGCAGAGATCAGCTGTGCGGCTGGAGAGCCGCAGGGAAGATGGGACCATCCCCCTCATTGTGAGTGAGACGCGCCGGGAGAGCGGCTTACATTTTAATTCGCCAGCCCCTGTCCTTGCAGAGAAATTGCGTTGCGTGGTGGTGCCGCTGCCGCTGCCGCGTGAGGTGTTGGCAGGAGCATTCATCCCGTTTGTCGGAGATCGGTGGGGTTGGTGAATGAATGGGGGGCGGTGGGTCCGTTAGAGGGAGGTGTGCCATTTGCATGGGTGTCTTTATGTTTGTTTTAGCCCTCAGGCGTGTCACCATGGCAGCATTTCCAATTGGGGAGCACA